TGTCTTCCATATTTCTGGTAGGTCTCCCGTCCCCAGTGACCTACTATACACGTTGGAGATTGACAAGCAAAGTGCCTCTGCACACTCTTTCAGTACCCATGGTGAGATCCCGTCTGGACCAACAGCCTTTCTAACATCCAGATCCAGCTGTATACCTGTCGTTGCCTGTTCTAAGTTTCATTACCTGTTCTTTCACTGTTGTTTTCCTCCTGATGTGACTGTGTGTGTGTGTGTGTGTGTGTGTGTGTGTGTGTGTGTGTGTATATATGTGTGTGTGTGTGTGTATATATATATATATATATATATATATATATATATATATATATATATATATATATATATATATATATATATATATTTATATATATTTATTTATTTATTTTTATTTTCCTATACTAGGCCTAAGAATATTTAAGTTTGTTTTTTAGCTTTATATTTTTGGACTCTTTAAAAGTGAATACCTGTAGTACCAAATTCTACTACTTAATTGTCCATTATGTCAATATATGTATGATTGTACACACAATGAGGTCCATTAAGTAATAGTTACAAAAAGTATTATTTAAACAGGAATATGGGTTGCCATATTGGCACTTGTTACATCCTTTTTCAAATTTCACTTATCAATGCCCATTAAATCACTTGGCCTGTTTGAAATTTGTGTGGCTAGAGGTCAGTGGTACAGCCATTCACTTTACCTCACTTTTTATCACTTAACCACTTTTTGCTTTTCCAATATTCACATCGTTTCCCAGAACTCTTAACTACACTTGACTATAATTTTTAACTTGTCTGGCAAAGTTTTTCTACGCAAAACGAGAATTAACTTCCCTACAAGGTGTCATCATGACTCTTCTCGATCTGTAGTGTGGGTAACTGTGCTCCAGTATACCTGTTGTGTTGTGACAGTTTTGTATGAACAGGGCTAGAAGAGAAATAAGATGGACATGGAGTAGCCTAAGGACATAAACCTAACCATTTCATAAAGGTTAATATGATAATGAGTGATAAAGTACTTTTGCAGTCTCCTGCATGCAGCATCCATGGTGAGATTAGGTCTGGCCCCATTAACTTTGTTACATCTAGTTCTTCCAGGTGATAAGCCATAAAATGAAATCAATAGGAATAACGGGTGAGTGAGTTGAATTTTCAACTTCGTCCAACAGAATGCAAAGATTAACAGTAAATCAAATAAGATTAAGTGCAAGTGCACTGAAAAGCTCTGTACCCCAGGGCACAGTACTTGTACCAGGTAAATGATTGAACATTTACCATGTCTGTACAGTATGTATGGACACAGTAAAATGCCTAAAATTCTGGGTCAGTCTCGAAACACACAGAATGTTGTCTTGGGGGAAGAAGGCGAGTGAAATATTTCGTAATGTATACTCTACATACAAGATCAGGACCCAAATAAGCACACTTAAATATCTTGGCCCTGTTGCAAAATATATGGTAGGAAAAGCAGAATAAACAGGTGAAAATTAAAGGTGCCACAGGCACAGTCATGAAACATTAAACATTAGAGGGGCCACAGCTCTGTGCCTTCCATCTACCTAACATGAATATTACTGGTGCAAAATTTACAATTTTAAAGAGGCATTTACTGATCATTTGGGTTGCAATGGATATGTAGGCATGTATGCTGCTTCAAGCTTCAGCCTTTCTGATTAGCCTATTGCCAGGCCGAGAAGAACAACTTTGAAACCAACTACAGGTAAAGGTCAAGTAAAACCTCTGATGCCAATGTTTTTATAGTGTTCTGAATGAAGTTCTGTGGGTCATTTGGTCTGCCAGTCATTTGGCATGTTTACCTGCTGTTAAGGGACCACGGTCAAGACCTTGTAACAATAGTCCACATTACCGGCATTTCTTCATGTCTGGCCAGCCATTTGTCGGATCCCATGTGCTATGTTTAGTTGAGTTGGTGGTGGCAGGACAGTGGTCGGTTTCCCACACTCACCATTATCTCACTATGGAGGGGGGAGGCTGTCCAAAATAATGACCATAGTGCCTGTTTCATCGTTGTTGCCATGTCAGATGGGTTAATACAGTAATGCAATCGCAGAAACTTTGGCCACTGATGCATTCCACGTTTACACATGGATGAATTATTATGATGATCCATAATATGCTTACTGCTGCATTTGTGTAATTACCTAAGTGTAGCTACAGGATGAGAGCAACGCTCGTGTGCACATGCGTGTGCTCAGAGTGAAAACGTATTGCATAAGAAACTGTTGAGTTTAAGTACATTCATAATTATAGGTAATAATTGTAGAAGATTTATACAAATATCAGATGGGTACCCATCTGTGCTGTGGTCTCTCACCCTTTCCCAACTCCCAATCTCTCCCCCAATCTCTCCCCACTCTCTCCTCACTCTCTCCTCACTCTCTCCTCACTCTCTCCTATTGGGGGGGTAGGGGGGGGGGGAGATGGGAAGGGTGTGTAATTACCTAAGTATAATTATAAAAGTGTAGTTACAGGATGAGAGCTATGCTCATGGTATCCCATCTTCCCAGCACTTTGTCATATAATTCTTTGTAACTGCTGATGTTTTTGGCCTTAACACTTTCTCACTTGTTCCAACCATCTACCACTCTGTTTGCAAAAGAAAACTTTCAAATATTTTTTCAGCATCTTTATTTGATTAGCTTGAATCTATGACCTTTTGTTCTCATGTTAGTGGTTTCAAGAATTCCTCTTTGTCAATTTGGTCGATTCCTGTTGTTACTTTGCAAGTATTGATCATATCGCCTTTCTTCTATCTTCTAGCTGTGGCATATTTAATGCCTCTAGTCTCTCATCATAACTCTTGTTTTTCAGTTCTTTAACCATTATAGCATGCCTTTGCACCTTTTCCAGTTTATTGATGGGCTTCTTGAGATATGTGCACCATACAACTGCTACATGTTGCGATTTTGGTCTCAAAAAAGTCGTGAACTCCCTCATGTAGTGGAGCTTTATTTGGTAATTTAAGTGCTTATTTAAGTACAGTCCTACTATTTTCAGGTGTAAATTATACTGTGTCTTTTTCACCTGATCTCCAGGGATCAGGGATAGAGATCTCTGATCTCTACTTAGCTTTTCACCATGCATACCTGGAGAGGATTTGGGGAGTTTGACTTGCCATAACTTGGTCCAACAGGCTGTAGCTTGGAGCATGCTCACAGGTTCACATATCCACTACAGTCTGATGGATGATCCATATTACGTACATCCATCTAGATGTAATAATCTGGATCATCCATGGATGAGCCAAATTACAAATGGTCATATATTTTTAAAGCTTTCTTAAAGTCTGTTTATATACTGTACAAGGGCAGAAATAGGCTAAGCTACTCAATCCTTTTGAGATGTATTTTATTTTATCAATAAACTTACGTGACCTTGTTTATTGGTGTTTTGACATTGGTGTTTTGCTTGTGTTCCAAGAGGTCCTCCTTGTGTGTGTATATTTACCAGTTCCCATCACTACCTTACCTACTTCATATTATACATTCAAGTCCACAGATGACTAATTTGATCATACTAGTCAAACATCTGCCATCCCACGCTAGTCTCATGAATCTCCTACCTGGCTGTACATACTAGCTTTTTTAGTCACATTCACCTTTCCATTTGGTTAGATAATTCATTTTCTTCTCACAAGAAGAAACTGAGAATCTACCTTAGGTCTTTTTATTTGTAATTATCTTAGTGATTCATCTGCCAATAAATGACTAGGTATCCAATCATCTTTGTGAAAATATTAGTTCATTGTTCACAGGACAAGTGAAACCAGAGACTTGCCTGGTGTGGCCACTTCTCATGCTGGCCAGACTATGCCGGTCGGCCGAGCAGACAGCATGCTGGACTTGTGATCCTGTGGTCCTGGGTTCGATCCCAGGCGCCGGCGAGAAACAATGGGCAGAGTTTCTTTCACCCTATGCCCCTGTTACCTAGCAGTAAAATAGGTACCTGGGTGTTAGTCAGCTGTCACGGGCTGCTTCCTGGGGGTGGAGGCCTGGTTGAGGACCGGGCCGCATGGACACTAAAAAGCCCCTAAATCATCTCAAGATAACCTCAAGATATGCCTGTGATGTCTGAAAGGTTTTAATAAAAACATTAGAACAAACACAATATTAGTTATGTTCATCATAGTGCAGTATTTATGGATGGTGGTGGTGATGAGAAGTGATTGGCAGTGATGTTGAGAAGAGTGAGTGACAATGATGCTGAGATTGGTGTATGTGTGTTAATGAAAATACCTGTACTAGGACATATAGTTTTCGATGATTTCTCAAGTTTTTTATCAGATAAGTTGTATAATATTTATCTAAATTAGCTTTAGAGGTCATATGAAATATGAGTTTATTTCAAATGTCTTTCAGAGCATTCTAATACATAGGCTAAATGAGGTAGTGTAACTAATGAACATTGCTGTTCTGGAAGGAGAAAAGAGCTTTCTTGTTACTAATGTATTGTATGTGTGGCTAAAGTCCATACACCACTTGACTCATTCTTGCATCTTGTTTGAATGCTTCTTAAACAAAAGATCACATGTACTGTTTCATGTATGAATAATGATGTGTTAAATGTTATATTAAATGTCAGCAATTTAAATAAGAATTTGTATTGCTTTAAGTTTTTTGCCAGGTCTATAATTTTTTTCTTTTAATCCTCTTTCACAGTATGACCCAAGTTACTTTCAGGATGACAGTTTTTTAAACTACCTAGTAACCTTGTGTATCATACCTGTTGTCCCCAATTGCAATTTGTTCTGTGATTTGCCTTATCACAGACTTGTGTGTCAAGGCCCTTCAAATGCATGTTAATTCACACCATAACCTGCCCTCAATTAACTACTTGGAGTATTTTGGCCTTGCCATTTTTAGCCATGATATGATTCCATCAAACCATTCCTGTTGTCCTAGGTGGTAAATGAATGTGAAGCTGAGTAATTACTGCCTTCTTTTGAAGTTAGGAATAAAATGGGCAATGTTTGTATCCCCCAGGGGGATCTCCAGCACCGCGACGTACATCCCCCTAGATCCTCTTCTGGAAACCCTGCGTCTCCGGTTACTCAGAGTTATAATGAAGGTGTGTGAGCTGCCCACCACTATTTTCTCACAGTTGGTCCTGTTCTAAAGCTTTCCCAATGGATTTCTTAAGTCCTCATTAAGTGTGTTGTCTTGTGTTCCCAATGGGTTGATGTTACCTCTGTTTTCCAATCTACTGTTTTTATATAATAATTACATGTTAATGGGTTAATAAACATTGTACAATGATCAATAATTGAACATTTGAAGAAGTAGAGCTGATACAGAGTGAAGTACAGTATAGTATTTAAATTTATCAAAATCAGAAACTTTATTTGTAGCAGCTTATTTATTATTATGTGAACTTATGTGAGAGAGAGAGAGAGAGAGAGATAGATACTGTATAGATAGATATATATATATATATATATATATATATATATATATATATATATATATATATATATATATATATATATATATATATATATATATATATATATATAATGAGAGAGAGATACAGATAGATCGAGAGATAGATAGATCGAGACAGAGAGAGAGATAGAGATATAGATTGAGAGAGAGAGATAGTTTGATATATCGAGAGATAGATAGATCGAGAGATCGAGATCTTGAAGATCTTTCCATTTTAATTACTCTTTCACACATTTGTGATGGTCCTTCTCTACATTCATTATTTATACCCAGACCACTGCTACTCAGACAACACACACTTGAGAGGAAGATTTCATAATGTGCGCATAGTGTTGCATTTCTTTCTTTTCTGGAGACACATCAGGATGACAGAATATAATTTTTTGTTTACGAGTACGTAATATTGACTAATCCTTCACTCTAATGGTTTGTTGATGGTATGATGTTTTAAGTTAAAAATGCATGGCTGCAGTGTCTTTTGGTTATTAGGAGTACTGTACGGGCTGTACAGCAACATTATTACTAACATAGCTTAACATTTTTGGCGAGTGTTTCAGGACTGTTTTGTTGTGGAGAATACTAGTGTGTCAACAGTAAAGTTTGTGCACGGAGCCAGCAGCAAGTGTACCTGTAATGTTAAAAGTTCTGTACTGTGTTGATATGCAACATGTAGTATTCCTTTTGACTTGGTGTGTATTGTTGTTATACAAAAACTTTAACCCCCCCTTTAACTCCCCCACCCTCTAACAAAAAAACCTGTGAAATTGCAAATAGTAACCGCTGAAAGAAGCAAATGTGTTGTACAGTATATACCTTATGAGTGGTGCAAGGACACAGTTGGAAGCATGATGCAGCTGAAAGTAGTGTGTCTTATCATAGTGCATTATGTAGAAAAACACTAAAATGAGACTACACTTGTAGGTGATGTTTTGTCTGTGAAGTTACCAGAATGGTTGTTGATTTTACCGAATAGTAAAGTGCATTATAGGTAAAATTAGTGTGAACAGTGCTGATACAATTCCAGTGAATGAAAATTATGTCTTTGACCTACATAACAAATATGCTTTTTAAAATTGAGAAAATACAAATGTTTATACTGACCACTTGGATTCGGAGTCTTTATAGTATAATTCAAGGTAAATGTAAGTGTGAGAAAGTGATTAAGGATACTATACTGCATTTTGGCCTGTTTTCTGGGGGGAGCCCCGTCGGCTCCCCGGAGCTTTACCGGCTGATATGCTAATGTCAGACTTTGGCATCAGTCATGTGTATGGAGTTCTAGGGCCTACCGGGGACCACGAGCCAGAACCTGGCCCCCTCAGAGAGGCAAGGGGAGCAATGGCCTATAGAAACCCCCGTGTGGTTGGAAGCATTCTATGTCTGCCATCGACCGGGTCAAGCATCCAGAAAGGTAAGCATTCCAAAACAAACCCCTATTCTGGTGAAAATTGCTACCTAAGCCGAACTAGTGAATAGAACTCAACAGAAAACACGGAAACTAGTATGACGTCATACGTCACCGCGCCGCTGTCTGCGCAGCTCCCCCCTCCCCGGGAGGGGGAAGGGGGAGCCCCAGACCTCCCACGCCGGCTATCCACCCATCAGTTCTGAGGCTGGATGTCAAAACACGCGAAAAACGCCGACCGGAGGGAGGGAGGGTTGCCGGGGAGCCTCCGGGTCTCACCCAGAAAATGGCGTTTCATTACATTCAACGCTGGTTTTCTGGGGGGAGCCCCGTCGGCTCCCCGGAGCTAACTACCCACAGAGGAAGGTCAAAGGGACAAAACCGGGAGGCGGACACCACGCACCCCCCAAGGAGGCGAGACAACCGGCAGCAAACGCCAACCCAAGGCGCCACAGCCCCGAAAATCCCGGGAACAACACGAGATCTTCTCGCGGCTCCGCCTTTTTCCTGGGCTCAGGGGGGCCTTGTCGGGGCTGCTTATGTTCTGCCTCGTGGTCTCGCCTCCGGTTGGTGGTCGGGTGGCTTCGTGGTAGGTGTCCCACCTGCGTGCTTTCTTGGCGGCAGTATGGGGTATTTTGGCGGTCCTTCCTTTTCCTGTCCCTTCTTCGGTGGGTCCTTCTTGTTGGCTTGGTTTACTCTCGGCTTGGTTTTCTAGTGGGGGTTGGGGGCCGTCGTCTTGCCACATACTGTCGCCTCTTTTCGTGCGGCGCAGGCGGAGCCGCTTCAGCTTGCTTTCGGTCTTGGTGTTGCTTCTGCACCGTTAGTCAGCTGTCTTGTGCGTCATTTCACCTCCGGCCTGTTCGTGCGCCGCTTGCACCATCCTGGTCTCTGGTCAGCGTGCTCTGTCTTCTCCTCGGTTGGTAGTGCCCTTTCGGTTCCGGTGTGTTTTTTCGTCGGCTCTTTCCTTTGGGCCTTTGCCTCTGGGGGTCGGTTCGCTGTGTTTTCTTGCTCCTTCGGTTTTAGCGTTTTGGTTGTTTGATGGCAGCAGTCTCCATCTTTTCTGGCGCGGGGTGGGGCTGCTGCATTCTGGAGGGGTCCAGGGTTTGTTGGTGCTTTGTTGGTCGGGCCGGGGGTGTGTCGTTTTTGTGTTCAGTGGCGGCCCTCTGCTGTTGTTTGCGTGCCACGGCGTTTGGGTCCGGAGCGCGTTTTGCGTTGATCCGGTTCTGTTCTTCCCGGTTCGCGGGTGATGGTGTCCCGGGTGGTCAGCCGTGTTCTTGCGGCTAAGCTGCCTGTGTTCTTCCCTCATGCCTGTGGCGTTCGTGGCTTCGCTGCTCTCGCTGCCGTCTGGGCGACGTGGCCTTGCAGTCTTTCGGGCATGGATTTTTGGTGTTCGTGCAGGGGCCTTGCTGCTCGTGGTTCTCGTGTTGTTCCCGGGATTTTCGGGGCTGTGGCGCCTTGGGTTGGCGTTTGCTGCCGGTTGTCTCGCCTCCTTGGGGGGTGCGTGGTGTCCGCCTCCCGGTTTTGTCCCTTTGACCTTCCTCTGTGGGTAGTTAGCTCCGGGGAGCCGACGGGGCTCCCCCCAGAAAACCAGCGTTGAATGTAATGAAACGCCATTTTCTGGGTGAGACCCGGAGGCTCCCCGGCAACCCTCCCTCCCTCCGGTCGGCGTTTTTCGCGTGTTTTGACATCCAGCCTCAGAACTGATGGGTGGATAGCCGGCGTGGGAGGTCTGGGGCTCCCCTTCCCCCTCCCGGGGAGGGGGGAGCTGCGCAGACAGCGGCGCGGTGACGTATGACGTCATACTAGTTTCCGTGTTTTCTGTTGAAGAGTTCTATTCACTAGTTCGGCTTAGGTAGCAATTTTCACCAGAATAGGGGTTTGTTTTGGAATGCTTACCTTTCTGGATGCTTGACCCGGTCGATGGCAGACATAGAATGCTTCCAACCACACGGGGGTTTCTATAGGCCATTGCTCCCCTTGCCTCTCTGAGGGGGCCAGGTTCTGGCTCGTAGTCCCCGGTAGGCCCTAGAACTCCATACACATGACTGATGCCAAAGTCTGACATTAGCATATCAGCCGGTAAAGCTCCGGGGAGCCTCCGGGTCTCACCCAGAAAATGGCGTTTCATTACATTCAACGCTGGTTTTTTTATCAGTAAATTATGGCTCTCATTAATAAACTACTGTATTGGTATTTACTTCAATTAAAAAGTGATACCTGTGTATGCTCACTGCTGTAGATATATCTGAAATATACTACTAAATATAGACAGTACTACGATCTTGGATTAACATTCTTCAATATACCAATAACTAAAAAATTTGTTGGAAACTAATATTTTTAAGTTTTACCTATTTATTTCTAATATGCTGATATGCATTATGCAAGTGTTGACAGCTTAGTAATTTAAATTATGGTAAAGAAAAATTGTAATATAGTATATAAAAATACTGTATATGTATATACTGTACACATATACACAGTATATGTGTATATACTGTGGCCTGCTACAAAAATCACATGTAATAGCATATTTCTCAGTTGCAGATATACATGGTGCATATTGTTAAGTTGTAGAAATATTTATTTAAACTCAAGAAGTACTCTACAGCATGTTCTGTATCTGGAGGTCACTAGATTGCTAAACAAGTTACGGAGAGATAAGCATGTTAAAGAGTCTCAGGGCCTCTGATGCTGATAGGGTTCTCTCTGAGTACCTATTGCACCTCTGCTCTTTAACAGGGGTATTCTGCACATCCTGCCATGCCTTCCGGTCTCGTGTGATATTATTTCTGTGTGCACCAGCCCCTCTAATATTTTCCATGTGTAAATTATTATGTATTTCTCCCGCCTGCGCTCAAGAGAATACAGATTTAGGCATTTTAGTCGGTCCCAATAGTTTAGGTGTTTTACCGAGTGGATTCTAACAGTAAAGGTCTCCAGGTCAGCAATTTCTCTAGCTTTGAAAGGGGTTGTCATTGTGCAGCAGTATCAGTCTGCTGTAAAAATTAAATATCTTTCGGTACCTTTATTGCCAATAGATAAGTGATAATAGCTGCCATTGAGAAGCACTGGAGAGATTAGTGTAATTACTTAAGTGTAGTTACAGGATGAGAGCTACGCTGGTGGTGTCCCGTCTACCCAGCACTCTGTCATATAATGTTTTGAAATTACTGTCTGTTTTGGCCTCCACCACCTTCTCACCTAACTTGTTCCAACCG